GTCACTAGGACTGAATGGACTGCAGACAGCAAGGACTCCAAGAGGAGTAAGTGCCATCAAACGGAAGCCCTTAAGCCCCCATCATTCCAGCCACACATGCGATTCTTGCATGCAGATGGCGCAAACGATGGAAGACGATGCGGACTATGCGAAACATCCCTGTCCACTACATCCAAATTCAACAGACAGGCCAGGCTGGTTCTGACAGGCAGACAGAGGTCGTGGAATGCTTGTCTTGATCTTTCGGAGCATACATCTGTCGAGATACGCGCGTCTGCCGAAAGAATCTACGCACGTACCTTGTGGCTTCCGTTCGAAACACCAAGACCCGATGCTAGTTTGTGCTTGAGGTTTTGGGCTGCGGGCTACAGGCTGCAGGATTTTGAGATGCAAGAGGTTCGGAATGACAAGTTTAGTCATAGCAGGGTCTCAATTCAACATTCACACACTGCTGCAAGACTCTCCTTGTCGGGCCTTGGTATAATACCAGTAGTGTGGAGCACACAGTTCGGATTCGAGTACTCCCGCGCTTGCGGAGACACGCTCGGAGTCGCATGAAGCAATCGTGCCAGAGACCTTCTCACAGCCAGGCTGAAACTTAACTCTTCAAGCCAGCTACTCAAATCAGCAACACATCTGAATGATCTGAATGGCATACAGCGACACCCACGATCCGAACACCCAAACTAGACCCCGGCCCCAAACCCTAGAAGTACCGCTACAACCCTAACCCCTATACCCTAAACCCCTAAACCCTAAACACCTAAACCCCTAAAGCCCTAAAGCGCTAAACCCTAACCCCTAAACCCTAAACCCCTCAAGCCCTAAAGCGCTAAACCCCTAAACCCCTAAACCCTAAACCCCTTCTAGGCAGCCTTCTCCAACCCAAGCCACCCACCTGCATCACGCTGGTTACCGCCAAAGAGGAGACCTGGGAGCCACCACAGCGTTCCCGGCTTCGAGGCTCAGGGTTTTAGGGTTTAGAGGGTTTAGAGGTGTACGGGGTTTTAGGGTTTTAGGGCTTTCAGGGTTTAGGTTTTCTTTTTCTTAAGGTGCATCGGACTTTTCTGGGTTAGCAGCGTCAGCCTGCCTCATTGAGGCCTGCACTGGTAGGGTTTTGGGTTTAGGGTCTATCGTCCCGTAAGGTTTGGGGTGCCCTAAGCCCCCAAAATCCTGAACTCTGAAACGCAAAGCCCTAGAGCCAGTAGAGTCTTCAATCCAAATCTGGAGGCCTTTTCAACTTCAGCACTTTGTGCTCATGATCATCGGCTTATCTGTGATTTAGGTATGAGTAGGAACCTCGCTGAAAATCTTAAACATCGAGCCAATGATCCTCTGGGAGACCGAATACGGAATCCGAGAACGCAAGGGTCGTGACGGCTGTGATACATCTTCATGACTTGACATCGAAAGTTCTCCATCGATGTCCTCCGAGTCTCTACATCCCAAACCCTGAACTCTAACTCGCACATAAGCCTTTAAAGCCCAAAGCCAACACCCTGAACACTTCACCCCAACAGACCCTAAACCCTGGCGATAACACCCAAAGCCGTAGGCCCGAAGCCCAGAACCCTCACCCAACTGTTCGGCTCGGACCCCAGCTCCATCGTCGCTGCTGCTGCTGCTGGAAGCCGCCTTCTCGGCTCCGTGGCTTTCGGCTTTAGGGCTTTAAGGGATTTGGGATTTAGGTGCTTAGAACAGAGTTAGGGTTCAGGTGCTTAGAAGGATTTGGAGTTAATAGGGTTTAGGGTATAGAAGGGTTAAGGTTTAGGGTGGAGTTTAGGTGCTTAGAAGGGTTAGGGTTTATAGGGTTTAGGGTATTTGTTCCGCATAAAGGCTACTTCGTAGGCCCCTGACCCTTTTCGAAGCGAAACCCAAAGGGTTTCATGATACTGTTGTAGCAGGTACGTTTTAGGCCTGAAAAATTCAGGGATCCTACACTTTAATGCTAGGAAAAGTTATATACTACATGCGCGCATCGACCCGTAAGGGAATCTTCAACCCCAGGTAAATGTTTTGGTTCAGAAAACTTATGCTTGAAAGTAGGGGCCTTATACCCACACACTGTGACTTTCTCCGTGGTAACTGAACCTCAAACCCTGTTAGAGTACAATTCGCCCTTAATCCAAAGTTGGGAGCTTCGAAGCGACAAAACCCGCGTTCAAGCCATTGAAACGCACGGCAAAGCAAGGCAAGCAATCTGGCCAGACACCAAGTACAGTGTAGACCCCTGATTAATGAGCCCCCTTTTCAGGGCCCCATCACTTTTTACTACCTGATGCAAGGGCACTTGAAAAATCACAACAAGATTTTGGTGTAATCTAGACCCCTGAACAAAAAGAACCGCGTGCTTTACGCGCCGTAAGATTGGGATCCCCAAAAATCTCGAAAAGGGGAGGAAGGGCGGAGGCAGCTGCTGGGAGGCAAGTGGCGCCTGATTGGAAGGGTTTAGGGCTTAAGGTCTAAAGTTTAGGGTTTAGGGTCTGGGTTTTAGGGGGGAGATCCTCGAACGGCCACTGAAAAGGACGTACCCCGGTTTTATTTACGGCTTTAGAAGTTAAGGGTCTGTGGTGCTTTATCGGAACGGGTTGATCTTCCGTCAAACGTCGGTGGCTTTCCTCTAAGTCCTGCAGCCTGACGCCTAAACCCCTAAAGTCTAAACCCCTAAAACCAAAACCCTAAACCGTCAGCCTAAGCCCTGAGCCCTAAGCCTCCAAGTCCTAAAACCACAACCCTAAACCGTCAGCCTAAGCCCTGAGCCCGAAGCCTCCAAGTCCTAAAGCCACAGCCTTGATTTATGATTCACGGGCAGGGTTTGGAGTTTAGGGTTTGGGGTTTACGGTTCAGGAACCTCACCAAGATACCCACAATCAGAAGCAAACCAGTCCTCCCTCATCTAACAGTAATGTAGAGGGCGCCTTCGGCAAGTCCAGAAGGCTCACACCGGACCTGAGGAAAAGAAGATGAATCCAAAGCTTCAGGAACCTTTTGAAAATACAGACGTCGCGAAAGAATCCTCAACCAGAAACCCAAGCTGCAACAGCAAAGCACTCTCGTTGTTGTTGTTAAGACTGCACTGAGATTTTAATGTTCTGCCGATAACAACCGCTCCAGCTCACAAGCCGATGCTCTGAACATTCCACTTCCTGTGATGCTTTGAGAATTACCTCACTGCTTCCAGACACAATAGATATAACGAGCATTGATGATCACCGTATTGTTCCTGCCATCAATACTTGTGCCACTCTCCACAATCCGCACCTTCACGTTCCTGGACCGGAAATCTGCAATCTCAACCTGTAAACCGTAAACCCACAAAACCAAAACTCCAAATCCCGGTGGGGGTCTGCTCATAAACGCCTGGCCGGGCTCAAACCTGTTCCGAATTCATACATATTAAAGTCTACCCTTGGGCGCCCGCAACTTCGTGGCGATGAACTCCTTCGCGGCCTCCATGGCATTGTCCTCCAGCTCCTCCTCGAGGAAGGCCCTGCACTTCTGCGGCATCGGTCCGAACCAAGATCAACACGACGGTCAAGGATGCAAAGTGAACGGAAAATGCTGTGAAACCGAAATGATCATAGTGATACTACAGGTTGCGGAATCACGACTAAAAGTAGATCTTGTGTCAAAACGTGATGGGCCTCAGATACATTAACCAACCTTTATCACTACCAAATTGCGGTGGCTTTCAGGTGGCTGAACCCATGTTGAGCAATCTTGGAGCATTTTCCAATTGCATGTGCATACTTAGCATATTTTCCATGATTTAACGGTTAAAAGCATTTACCCATGCCCATGCCAAGACTTCTCGTAATCTGTTTTTGGTTGACAGACGCAGCCGATGGCAGCCCCAAGTCCCACTACTGCTGCCAAACTTTCATGGACGAAAGAATCTGAGCCTTTCTGAACCTGAAATCGCAGGACAACTCCCAACCCTGGAGCCGACATCAGCATGCCTCAGTACATGCGCCAGAACGCCCAGGATAACGCCCTCCGGCCGATAGCTCTAGATCACAATAAGACTTGGGCCAAGAATTAATGTGAGAATTATTGTTTTGCGTGTTTTTGTCGCGGCGGCGGTGGCGGCCGGCGAGCCGGCGGAGCTGGCGAATGCGAAGTCCTTTACCAGAAGATTCTGTTTTTCCTTGTCGATCTGACGTAGCTGCGACGTTGCCAGGGAAACAACCCACTCACAGTAGAGCTTCAAGCAAACGAGTTTACGCGTCTGTTTCTGTTTTGCGGACGTGTGGCACCGTCACCCTGAACCGTTACCGATGCTAACTAAATCAGCTTTGGCCAACAACCATTTTGCACGAAATGGCTTTCGCCCGAATGATAAATCCCTCTACAGCTGCTTGCTGTCAACCTGACACACATCACACACCCGGCCACTTTGTCCCGGCCTAGCTCTGTTCACCAAAGACGAGCTTGACATCTTGCTCGACATGTTTATCGACGGCCTACTCTGGTTGGGGGAAAGTGAACATGAGTTTACCAAACACATATGACACAGCCACTACACAGCCACTTTGGATCTGCATCCGTCGGATCCATGTTGCATCCTTTTTCTGGTTTTGTAGTAAAATTGAAAAGCTAACTGAAAATTGGGAAAGAAGCACCTGCTGTGCACATGATGCTTGACATCAGCATATCGACAACGACGTCGGATTTTCCGGTAACCCGTTCCGCATCGTGGACATGTTGGCACTTGGCCACTGCCCTGTAGGCTGAAAGCTCCCATGCCAGCTACACAGTTTGTTTGCTACAGTAGGTAAGCTACTGCTCGCTAACAAAAACATGGCTGATTTCAGTTTTCACCTGCGGCGCCCAGCATGCTTTTCCGCATTTTGCGAACATTGACTAACATTGACACACGGAAGGTAACACTCATAATGCCGGATGGTTATGAAATGTTCTGGACCAACATACTCTTGCACATGCTCGGAAATGGGTGCTTCCTTCCGTGGCCCGAGACAAGGCGACGTGATCTCTCACAATCACATCCGTGCACCTGCCACGACACATGACGGGATTCTACGACTCGCGCCCACAACGCTTTGAAACTGCTCATGCTGATGGAGACGCCTCTGACATACCAAGCCGCTCCCGGCACCCTGAACACCTCAGGCCCGAAACCGTCCGTTAATAGGTATCTTTCGTGTGTCGGGCTTCGCATTCAGCACTTGTTGTTCGAGGCAGTTTTTGCTTCGAGTTTAGGATTTGGGGTTTGGGCTAATACACCCAAAGTCATAAGCACAGCATCGCAAGCCTTTAATGCCTAAAAGTGGATTCTTGAACCCAAAACCGTAAAGCCTAAACCTTTCCATCGAAACCCCTCAAGAGTTACGCTTGGGTAGTTGTGCTGCAATCTTGCGCCCCACGGATACGCGGTTTGGGTTTACGGTCTCGGGTCTAGGGCAGAGTCTAGGGTTCGAGCCTCATGACACGCGAATATCATGTGACTCAAGACCCCGACTGCGAATATTCTACTGCACTCCAACCAGAAGGATTTCCGAGCACCCTCCGGTACATAAGGGATATTTCGGTACCGCCGAATTTCAGCACTAGGGCACTTGAAAGGGTATTACAAGCCGACATTTGTGAGGTTCTTGCAACCGCCAAATACATATACTACACTTGCTGGCACGCCCCAACTCAAAAAGAGGGCTTTTGCACGGCCCTCCCAACGCAACCTCTCGAAGATGTCAAATCCAGTAGCCCTGAACCAGCAAAGCCAAGGCCTGCCGCGGGGCCGGCAACTCCGGCAGCGCCTTTGAGGGAAAGTGAGAGGACTGACACAGATATATTCGGCGGATGATTTGCGGCTTCGCCTGCTTGAAAAACTAAACAACTCAAAATAAACAAGTTGTTCCAATCGGTAGTTGTCGCACTTAGCCAGTCCTGACTGACACCATGTGATGCAGCCGGCAGCTGGCACGGCTTAAGCAGATGTTCAGGAGGAAGGCTTTATTTAGGAAAAGTTTAGGGCTCAACATGGCGCGGAATCCGGAGGCTGTGATAGGAACCTCTTCACAGACAGAGCTGATTTGGCCCTGAGAAATTCCCTAAGTATGCTACCTGTCATCGAGGATTTGAGGTCTCTCAACCTCATACTACAATCTTATACACTGTAGCATGCTATGATATACTGTCAATAGAATATACTAGCATACACCAGAGTATACTATCATATACTCTAACAATACGTGTTGAGCTCTGGGCCTTATATGCTTCGACTGCGATGGGCTGGCGGCCTCGAGATTCGTAGCTATGCATCCAGCTCAACACTGTTTAAAACCCACTATAATACACTGTAATATATTCTAACTCGCATAATACACCGGGCGAGATGAATCCAGCGAACTTGCAGCAAATTCAGTTTCGGCTGTCCGGCGGGCCAGGCTGTGCGAATTTGCGGCCAATTTGCTGGAAAGCAGTTTCGGCTGTGCAGCACTCAGGCTGGGCTGGGCCAGGGTCGGCCGGCCCAGGTCAGGCTGAGTTTGGGCAGGGTTGGCAGGCCTGGCCTGGGCTGGGCTGGGCTGCCTGGGCAGGTGCAACTGCATGTCTCCCCCCATGATTTAAAACCTTGTGAAAGATTCCTAGGGCCCTCAAATCCTGAAAGATTGTTTCGCAAGGGGCAGTTTAAAGAGCCGATTAAAAATGGTTTCATCATAGACTGGGGGTTTGGGGCGGTCAGTTATGAACTGGTAGTTGATTTTTTGAAGCTGGCTTCTTGTTTGAACCAGTGGTTTCAGAATTTCAAAGGTTTTTGGCGGCCAAAAGCAGGGAACAACCACCCAAATAGACAAAGACGTATTCCTTGGGATTCTGTGGTGGATTCGCTGTAATTTCGCGAGCGCGAGAGAGAGAGAGAGAGAGAGAGAGAAAAAGAGAGAGAAAGAGAGAGAAAGAGAGAGAAAGAGAGAGAAAGAGAGAGAAAGAGAGAGAAAGAGAGAGAGAGAGAAAGAGAGAGAAAGAGAGAGAAAGAGAGAGAAAGAGAGAGAAAGAGAGAGAAAGAGAGAGAAAGAGAGAGAAAGAGAGAGAAAGAGAGAGAAAGAGAGAGAAAGAGAGAGACGGATCTAGTTTGGATATTCGGCTTTCTTGCTTTCTTTGGTACTGCTTGAGTGGGATGCTTGCAGATTATCGGGCCGGGACTGCCATGCAAGCCCGCCGGCAAGGCTTTTTAAGTTCGCTCAAGCTTGAAACAGCAAGCCGCCCGGCCGTGCAAGCACCAAAAAGGCCCCAAAAGCATACACCCTTCAACGTGCCCTCAACCCTGAACGCCAACCAGGAAGCCATAACAACCCAGCCGAATCCGATTAGTGCCCCATGCCGCACCCGCCACGGTCGATGTGTGGGGTTCGGGAGCGCGACCTGCAGCGCGGGGTCATGACTACGTTGATGATGATGAGGGTTCCAGGTTCAGGGTTTAGGGTTGAGGGTTCAGGGGTGTTCAGGGTTCAGGGTTTAAGATTTAGGATGTTCTAGGGGCTTAGGGGGGGAACGACGACCACGACTAGTTGGCAGCTGGCTTGAACTCGCGTGCGCCAAACAGGAGCATGCTGACGATGATGAGGATCATGATGACGGGCGACGGGGAGAGCAAGATGCAAATGCCAATGACAAAGATTGATGAGGAGAATGAGCATGCTGATCCAGCGACATCCACAATATTGACATGGGAATACTAAGTTCAAGGCTTGTGCCAGCAAAAAGCTTGCTATCACTATACTGGCACTGCGACGAACCGTACGACACAAATACCATACAACAAATTGAGCTTGTTCATTTAACCCCTAAACCCTAAAACTTTTTGGGGGGCCAACTGCCTCTTGTGGCGGCAGCTCCCAAAGCCGGAACCTCGCAGGGTCCTGGCCCAGGGGTGTGGCACAGACAACAACACATGGGATTTAGCGGATTCGGCGCTCAGGGTGGCTTTGCAACAAATGGGACCGGCCTGATTTCTCATGTCCTATCTGGTTTTCGATTAAGGTTGAAGTAGGCCTCTGCTGATTCCCCTCCCCGAATTTCGACGAGCAATGTTTTTTTGAAGGCCGTGCACACCGGGCCACAAGCTGGAGCCTGATTCTGCTAATGTTCCTCGTCCTGTTTGCAGCCTTGGTTGGGGCACTCGCGGTAGAAACCTCACAACCCTCCTTGATTCGCTGAAGTATTTGCATGGTTGCTGCTGCGTGATACAATCCTTTGCTGACACGTCTTGGTTAAGGTAGCGTGACGTTTAGCGAAAGCGATTGATGCTGCGCTCTCAAGGAGCGGAGCCTATACTTGAAACTCTAGAATTTGAATGCAATCTCCCTCAACCCTGTTCGACTTTCTTCCGTGAATGACATACTGAGCATGCTGAAGGCCAGGTTCCCGGGCGGGACCGAGAAAGTGAGCGGCCTTGCTTACGGGGCTCACGTCTTGTGATGTGTGTGGGGCGGCCATGAATTTTACAAGTCTTGTGTTTACAAAGACCAAGAGATACCGGAATGATTGGATGAAGCTCGGCTTCCCAAATCAGCTTGAAGCTTCTTTGGGAATCCCCTGCGGCCCGGTGTTCTAAGCTTTCGAAGATGACTTTCTAGCTTCTAGGCATTTGCATAAAGGGTGTCAGAGCACAAAGGGATCTTGGAGGGACCCTTCCCAAAGTCACTGTCTACTGTGCTCACAGGGACCCTGACTGGCTATAAGGACGTTTAATTTAGTCAGCCGTGGTCGTGGGTTCCGGCAGCTCGGCTGAGGTAGGAATTGCGGCAGAAGATCGCGCAATGTTTAGTCGTAGAATCTAGCAATTTCAAGGATCTCCCTTCATCACAACGGTCCCTAGACCCTAAATCCTATCTGAACAGTCTGAACACAAGTAACTCTCAGATCACGATACAAGTGTAAAGGTTGCGGTGCTGGAGCAGCTGTCTTCTCAGAGGCCCTCTGGAGATCTCACTGTACAATCCCAAGGAATACCTCTAGAATGGAGCCGCTAGTCACTCCCGGTCACTCCCCCACTCCCTCTCAAGCACCAGTAAATCGTGGACTGTAGAACATTGCCTGAACCCGAAACCCTAAAATGCCAATCGCCGTCACCACGGTTCGTGCCTGTGAAACCTGAGCTGCCGGCCAGACCCGCACGCCTGGGGAGTGGAGATATCTGAGCTGTGAGGGAAAACATCTCTGAGGGTTTTGGGTTTTGGGATTTGAGGGTTCCCTAGAACCCTTAACCCTAGCAGCCTGGAGCTTTAAACCCATAACCCTAAACCTCAAAACCCCTAAAATCTGGCACCTCTCGGGAAAAGATTCTAGGAATTAGCTTTCAATCTTTAGCATTCCTTACGTTTTATCAGTGGGCCGAGTGTACCAAGTTCAAACCACTAGTCACTAGGACTGAATGGACTGCAGACAGCAAGGACTCCAAGAGGAGTAAGTGCCATCAAACGGAAGCCCTTAAGCCCCCATCATTCCAGCCACACATGCGATTCTTGCATGCAGATGGCGCAAACGATGGAAGACGATGCGGACTATGCGAAACATCCCTGTCCACTACATCCAAATTCAACAGACAGGCCAGGCTGGTTCTGACAGGCAGACAGAGGTCGTGGAATGCTTGTCTTGATCTTTCGGAGCATACATCTGTCGAGATACGCGCGTCTGCCGAAAGAATCTACGCACGTACCTTGTGGCTTCCGTTCGAAACACCAAGACCCGATGCTAGTTTGTGCTTGAGGTTTTGGGCTGCGGGCTACAGGCTGCAGGATTTTGAGATGCAAGAGGTTCGGAATGACAAGTTTAGTCATAGCAGGGTCTCAATTCAACATTCACACACTGCTGCAAGACTCTCCTTGTCGGGCCTTGGTATAATACCAGTAGTGTGGAGCACACAGTTCGGATTCGAGTACTCCCGCGCTTGCGGAGACACGCTCGGAGTCGCATGAAGCAATCGTGCCAGAGACCTTCTCACAGCCAGGCTGAAACTTAACTCTTCAAGCCAGCTACTCAAATCAGCAACACATCTGAATGATCTGAATGGCATACAGCGACACCCACGATCCGAACACCCAAACTAGACCCCGGCCCCAAACCCTAGAAGTACCGCTACAACCCTAACCCCTATACCCTAAACCCCTAAACCCTAAACACCTAAACCCCTAAAGCCCTAAAGCGCTAAACCCTAACCCCTAAACCCTAAACCCCTCAAGCCCTAAAGCGCTAAACCCCTAAACCCCTAAACCCTAAACCCCTTCTAGGCAGCCTTCTCCAACCCAAGCCACCCACCTGCATCACGCTGGTTACCGCCAAAGAGGAGACCTGGGAGCCACCACAGCGTTCCCGGCTTCGAGGCTCAGGGTTTTAGGGTTTAGAGGGTTTAGAGGTGTACGGGGTTTTAGGGTTTTAGGGCTTTCAGGGTTTAGGTTTTCTTTTTCTTAAGGTGCATCGGACTTTTCTGGGTTAGCAGCGTCAGCCTGCCTCATTGAGGCCTGCACTGGTAGGGTTTTGGGTTTAGGGTCTATCGTCCCGTAAGGTTTGGGGTGCCCTAAGCCCCCAAAATCCTGAACTCTGAAACGCAAAGCCCTAGAGCCAGTAGAGTCTTCAATCCAAATCTGGAGGCCTTTTCAACTTCAGCACTTTGTGCTCATGATCATCGGCTTATCTGTGATTTAGGTATGAGTAGGAACCTCGCTGAAAATCTTAAACATCGAGCCAATGATCCTCTGGGAGACCGAATACGGAATCCGCGAACGCAAGGGTCGTGACGGCTGTGATACATCTTCATGACTTGACATCGAAAGTTCTCCATCGATGTCCTCCGAGTCTCTACATCCCAAACCCTGAACTCTAACTCGCACATAAGCCTTTAAAGCCCAAAGCCAACACCCTGAACACTTCACCCCAACAGACCCTAAACCCTGGCGATAACACCCAAAGCCGTAGGCCCGAAGCCCAGAACCCTCACCCAACTGTTCGGCTCGGACCCCAGCTCCATCGTCGCTGCTGCTGCTGCTGGAAGCCGCCTTCTCGGCTCCGTGGCTTTGGGCTTTAGGGCTTTAAGGGATTTGGGATTTAGGTGCTTAGAACAGAGTTAGGGTTCAGGTGCTTAGAAGGATTTGGAGTTAATAGGGTTTAGGGTATAGAAGGGTTAAGGTTTAGGGTGGAGTTTAGGTGCTTAGAAGGGTTAGGGTTTATAGGGTTTAGGGTATTTGTTCCGCATAAAGGCTACTTCGTAGGCCCCTGACCCTTTTCGAAGCGAAACCCAAAGGGTTTCATGATACTGTTGTAGCAGGTACGTTTTAGGCCTGAAAAATTCAGGGATCCTACACTTTAATGCTAGGAAAAGTTATATACTACATGCGCGCATCGACCCGTAAGGGAATCTTCAACCCCAGGTAAATGTTTTGGTTCAGAAAACTTATGCTTGAAAGTAGGGGCCTTATACCCACACACTGTGACTTTCTCCGTGGTAACTGAACCTCAAACCCTGTTAGAGTACAATTCGCCCTTAATCCAAAGTTGGGAGCTTCGAAGCGACAAAACCCGCGTTCAAGCCATTGAAACGCACGGCAAAGCAAGGCAAGCAATCTGGCCAGACACCAAGTACAGTGTAGACCCCTGATTACTGAGCCCCCTTTTCAGGGCCCCATCACTTTTTACTACCTGATGCAAGGGCACTTGAAAAATCACAACAAGATTTTGGTGTAATCTAGACCCCTGAACAAAAAGAACCGCGTGCTTTACGCGCCGTAAGATTGGGATCCCCAAAAATCTCGAAAAGGGGAGGAAGGGCGGAGGCAGCTGCTGGGAGGCAAGTGGCGCCTGATTGGAAGGGTTTAGGGCTTAAGGTCTAAAGTTTAGGGTTTAGGGTCTGGGTTTTAGGGGGGAGATCCTCGAACGGCCACTGAAAAGGACGTACCCCGGTTTTATTTAGGGCTTTAGAAGTTAAGGGTCTGTGGTGCTTTATCGGAACGGGTTGATCTTCCGTCAAACGTCGGTGGCTTTCCTCTAAGTCCTGCAGCCTGACGCCTAAACCCCTAAAGTCTAAACCCCTAAAACCAAAACCCTAAACCGTCAGCCTAAGCCCTGAGCCCTAAGCCTCCAAGTCCTAAAACCACAACCCTAAACCGTCAGCCTAAGCCCTGAGCCCGAAGCCTCCAAGTCCTAAAGCCACAGCCTTGATTTATGATTCACGGGCAGGGTTTGGAGTTTAGGGTTTGGGGTTTACGGTTCAGGAACCTCACCAAGATACCCACAATCAGAAGCAAACCAGTCCTCCCTCATCTAACAGTAATGTAGAGGGCGCCTTCGGCAAGTCCAGAAGGCTCACACCGGACCTGAGGAAAAGAAGATGAATCCAAAGCTTCAGGAACCTTTTGAAAATACAGACGTCGCGAAAGAATCCTCAACCAGAAACCCAAGCTGCAACAGCAAAGCACTCTCGTTGTTGTTGTTAAGACTGCACTGAGATTTTAATGTTCTGCCGATAACAACCGCTCCAGCTCACAAGCCGATGCTCTGAACATTCCACTTCCTGTGATGCTTTGAGAATTACCTCACTGCTTCCAGACACAATAGATATAACGAGCATTGATGATCACCGTATTGTTCCTGCCATCAATACTTGTGCCACTCTCCACAATCCGCACCTTCACGTTCCTGGACCGGAAATCTGCAATCTCAACCTGTAAACCGTAAACCCACAAAACCAAAACTCCAAATCCCGGTGGGGGTCTGCTCATAAACGCCTGGCCGGGCTCAAACCTGTTCCGAATTCATACATATTAAAGTCTACCCTTGGGCGCCCGCAACTTCGTGGCGATGAACTCCTTCGCGGCCTCCATGGCATTGTCCTCCAGCTCCTCCTCGAGGAAGGCCCTGCACTTCTGCGGCATCGGTCCGAACCAAGATCAACACGACGGTCAAGGATGCAAAGTGAACGGAAAATGCTGTGAAACCGAAATGATCATAGTGATACTACAGGTTGCGGAATCACGACTAAAAGTAGATCTTGTGTCAAAACGTGATGGGCCTCAGATACATTAACCAACCTTTATCACTACCAAATTGCGGTGGCTTTCAGGTGGCTGAACCCATGTTGAGCAATCTTGGAGCATTTTCCAATTGCATGTGCATACTTAGCATATTTTCCATGATTTAACGGTTAAAAGCATTTACCCATGCCCATGCCAAGACTTCTCGTAATCTGTTTTTGGTTGACAGACGCAGCCGATGGCAGCCCCAAGTCCCACTACTGCTGCCAAACTTTCATGGACGAAAGAATCTGAGCCTTTCTGAACCTGAAATCGCAGGACAACTCCCAACCCTGGAGCCGACATCAGCATGCCTCAGTACATGCGCCAGAACGCCCAGGATAACGCCCTCCGGCCGATAGCTCTAGATCACAATAAGACTTGGGCCAAGAATTAATGTGAGAATTATTGTTTTGCGTGTTTTTGTCGCGGCGGCGGTGGCGGCCGGCGAGCCGGCGGAGCTGGCGAATGCGAAGTCCTTTACCAGAAGATTCTGTTTTTCCTTGTCGATCTGACGTAGCTGCGACGTTGCCAGGGAAACAACCCACTCACAGTAGAGCTTCAAGCAAACGAGTTTACGCGTCTGTTTCTGTTTTGCGGACGTGTGGCACCGTCACCCTGAACCGTTACCGATGCTAACTAAATCAGCTTTGGCCAACAACCATTTTGCACGAAATGGCTTTCGCCCGAATGATAAATCCCTCTACAGCTGCTTGCTGTCAACCTGACACACATCACACACCCGGCCACTTTGTCCCGGCCTAGCTCTGTTCACCAAAGACGAGCTTGACATCTTGCTCGACATGTTTATCGACGGCCTACTCTGGTTGGGGGAAAGTGAACATGAGTTTACCAAACACATACGACACAGCCACTACACAGCCACTTTGGATCTGCATCCGTCGGATCCATGTTGCATCCTTTTTCTGGTTTTGTAGTAAAATTGAAAAGCTAACTGAAAATTGGGAAAGAAGCACCTGCTGTGCACATGATGCTTGACATCAGCATATCGACAACGACGTCGGATTTTCCGGTAACCCGTTCCGCATCGTGGACATGTTGGCACTTGGCCACTGCCCTGTAGGCTGAAAGCTCCCATGCCAGCTACACAGTTTGTTTGCTACAGTAGGTAAGCTACTGCTCGCTAACAAAAACATGGCTGATTTCAGTTTTCACCTGCGGCGCCCAGCATGCTTTTCCGCATTTTGCGAACATTGACTAACATTGACACACGGAAGGTAACACTCATAATGCCGGATGGTTATGAAATGTTCTGGACCAACATACTCTTGCACATGCTCGGAAATGGGTGCTTCCTTCCGTGGCCCGAGACAAGGCGACGTGATCTCTCACAATCACATCCGTGCACCTGCCACGACACATGACGGGATTCTACGACTCGCGCCCACAACGCTTTGAAACTGCTCATGCTGATGGAGACGCCTCTGACATACCAAGCCGCTCCCGGCACCCTGAACACCTCAGGCCCGAAACCGTCCGTTAATAGGTATCTTTCGTGTGTCGGGCTTCGCATTCAGCACTTGTTGTTCGAGGCAGTTTTTGCTTCGAGTTTAGGATTTGGGGTTTGGGCTAATACACCCAAAGTCATAAGCACAGCATCGCAAGCCTTTAATGCCTAAAAGTGGATTCTTGAACCCAAAACCGTAAAGCCTAAACCTTTCCATCGAAACCCCTCAAGAGTTACGCTTGGGTAGTTGTGCTGCAATCTTGCGCCCCACGGATACGCGGTTTGGGTTTACGGTCTCGGGTCTAGGGCAGAGTCTAGGGTTCGAGCCTCATGACACGCGAATATCATGTGACTCAAGACCCCGACTGCGAATATTCTACTGCACTCCAACCAGAAGGATTTCCGAGCACCCTCCGGTACATAAGGGATATTTCGGTACCGCCGAATTTCAGCACTAGGGCACTTGAAAGGGTATTACAAGCCGACATTTGTGAGGTTCTTGCAACCGCCAAATACATATACTACACTTGCTGGCACGCCCCAACTCAAAAAGAGGGCTTTTGCACGGCCCTCCCAACGCAACCTCTCGAAGATGTCAAATCCAGTAGCCCTGAACCAGCAAAGCCAAGGCCTGCCGCGGGGCCGGCAACTCCGGCAGCGCCTTTGAGGGAAAGTGAGAGGACTGACACAGATATATTCGGCGGATGATTTGCGGCTTCGCCTGCTTGAAAAACTAAACAACTCAAAATAAACAAGTTGTTCCAATCGGTAGTTGTCGCACTTAGCCAGTCCTGACTGACACCATGTGATGCAGCCGGCAGCTGGCACGGCTTAAGCAGATGTTCAGGAGGAAGGCTTTATTTAGGAAAAGTTTAGGGCTCAACATGGCGCGGAATCCGGAGGCTGTGATAGGAACCTCTTCACAGACAGAGCTGATTTGGCCCTGAGAAATTCCCTAAGTATGCTACCTGTCATCGAGGATTTGAGGTCTCTCAACCTCATACTACAATCTTATACACTGTAGCATGCTATGATATACTGTCAATAGAATATACTAGCATACACCAGAGTATACTATCATATACTCTAACAATACGTGTTGAGCTCTGGGCCTTATATGCTTCGACTGCGATGGGCTGGCGGCCTCGAGATTCGTAGCTATGCATCCAGCTCAACACTGTTTAAAACCCACTATAATACACTGTAATATATTCTAACTCGCATAATACACCGGGCGAGATGAATCCAGCGAACTTGCAGCAAATTCAGTTTCGGCTGTCCGGCGGGCCAGGCTGTGCGAATTTGCGGCCAATTTGCTGGAAAGCAGTTTCGGCTGTGCAGCACTCAGGCTGGGCTGGGCCAGGGTCGGCCGGCCCAGGTCAGGCTGAGTTTGGGCAGGGTTGGCAGGCCTGGCCTGGGCTGGGCTGGGCTGCCTGGGCAGGTGCAACTGCATGTCTCCCCCCATGATTTAAAACCTTGTGAAAGATTCCTAGGGCCCTCAAATCCTGAAAGATTGTTTCGCAAGGGGCAGTTTAAAGAGCCGATTAAAAATGGTTTCATCATAGACTGGGGGTTTGGGGCGGTCAGTTATGAACTGGTAGTTGATTTTTTGAAGCTGGCTTCTTGTTTGAACCAGTGGTTTCAGAATTTCAAAGGTTTTTGGCGGCCAAAAGCAGGGAACAACCACCCAAATAGACAAAGACGTATTCCTTGGGATTCTGTGGTGGATTCGCTGTAATTTCGCGAGCGCGAGAGAGAGAGAGAGAGAGAGAGAGAGAGAGAAAAAGAGAGAGAAAGAGAGAGAAAGAGAGAGAAAGAGAGAGAAAGAGAGAGAAAGAGAGAGAGAGAGAGAGAGAGAGAGAGAGAGAAAGAGAGAGAAAGAGAGAGAAAGAGAGAGAAAGAGAGAGAAAGAGAGAGAAAGAGAGAGAAAGAGAGAGAAAGAGAGAGACGAATCTAGTTTGGATATTCGGCTTTCTTGCTTTCTTTGGTACTGCTTGAGTGGGATGCTTGCAGATTATCGGGCCGGGACTGCCATGCAAGCCCGCCGGCAAGGCTTTTTAAGTTCGCTCAAGCTTGAAACAGCAAGCCGCCCGGCCGTGCAAGCACCAAAAAGGCCCCAAAAGCATACACCCTTCAACGTGCCCTCAACCCTGAACGCCAACCAGGAAGCCATAACAACCCAGCCGAATCCGATTAGTGCCCCATGCCGCACCCGCCACGGTCGATGTGTGGGGTTCGGGAGCGCGACCTGCAGCGCGGGGTCATGACTACGTTGATGATGATGAGGGTTCCAGGTTCAGGGTTTAGGGTTGAGGGTTCAGGGGTGTTCAGGGTTCAGGGTTTAAGATTTAGGATGTTCTAGGGGCTTAGGGGGGGAACGACGACCACGACTAGTTGGCAGCTGGCTTGAACTCGCGTGCGCCAAACAGGAGCATGCTGACGATGATGAGGATCATGATGACGGGCGAGAGGGAGAGCAAGATGCAAATGCCAATGACAAAGACTGATGAGGATTATGAACATGCTGATCCAGCGACATCCACAATATTGACATGAGAATACTAAGTTCAAGGCTTGTGCTAGCAAAAAGCTTGCTATCACTATACTGGCACTGCGACGAACCGTACGACACAAATCCCATACAACAAGATGAGCTTGTTCATGTAACCCCTAAACCCTATACCCTCTACCTTTTTGGGGGGGCCAATTGCCTGTTCTGCCGGGAGCTGCCAAAGTTGGAACCTCGCAGGGTCCTGGCCCAGGGATGAGGCACAAATAGCAACACGTGGGATTTAGCGGATTCGGGGCTCAGGGTGGCTTCGCAACCAGTGGGACCGGCCTGATTTCCCATGCCCTATCTGGTTTTCTATTGAGGTTGAGGTTGAGGTTGGCCTCTGCTGATTCACCTCCCCAGTTTTGACGAGCAATGCTCTTTGGAAGGCCGTGCACACCAGGCCACAAGCTGGAGCCTGACTCTGCTAATGTTCCTCGTCCTGTTTGCAGCCTTGGTTGGGGGCACTCGCGGTAGAAACCTCACAACCCTCCTTGAGTCGCTGAAGTAGGTGCCCAGACCCCCGGGAGGATCTAATTTGGGGACCTATACTAAGGGTACTTTATAGCAACCCCCAATTTCAGGGATCTACTTTTTGGATCCTCCAAAGAAAGTCTGGGTGACCGCGGGCACGCGTGACGCTTACCGAAAGCGCCTCTAAGGAGCGGAGCCAATGATTTGAAACTCTGAAGACTTTGAATGCAATGCCCTGTGCTCCAAAAAAGAAGCAGACCCTATACTTAAGTATAGGGTTTTGGGTTTTGGGTTTAGAATAAAATGCCCCTCAACGCTGTTCGACTTTCTTCAGTGAGTGACATACTGAGCATGCTGAAGGCCAGGTTCCCGGGCTGCACCCAAGAAGTGCGGTGCCTTGCTTACGAGGCTCACGTCTTGTGATGTGTGTGTGGGGGGGGCGGCCATGAATTTTAGAAGTCTAGTGACTAGTGTTTACAAAGACCAAGAGATACTGGAATATTGGATGAAGCTCGGCTTCCCAAATCAGCTTAAAGCTTCTTTGGGAATCGCCTGTGGCCCGGTGCTTTTGAGCTTTCGAAGATGACTTTCTAGCTTCTAGGCATTTGCATAAAGAGTGTTTATAGGATACATCGCAGGGCGCAAAGGGATCTTGGAGGGACCCTTCCCAAAGTCACTGTCTACTGTGCTCACAGGGACCCTGACTGGCTATAAGGACGCTTAACTTAGTCAGCCGCGGTCGTGGCGGCAGTTTGGTTGAGGTAGGCATGGCGGCTGAAGATCGCGCAATGTTTAGTCGTAGAAACTATCAATTTCAAGGATCTCCCTTCATCACAACGGTCCCTAAACCCCAAACCGTAAACCCTATCTGAACAGTCTGAACACAAGCAACTCTCAGATCACGATACAAGTGTAAAGGTTGCGGTGCTGGAGCAGCTGGTTCTTGCAAGCTCCCTTCGCATTGTCTTCTCAGAGGCCCTCTGGAGATCTCACTGTACAATCCCAAGCAATACCTCTAGAATGGAGCCGCTAGTCACTCCCGGTCACTCCCCGCTCCCTCTCAAGCACCAGTAAATCGTGGACTGTAGAACATTGCCTGAACCCGAAAGCCTAAACCCTAAAATAACAATCGCCGTTACCACTGTCCGTGCTTGTGAAACCTGAGCTGCCGGCAAGCCCCGCCCTTGTTGGCAGCACCTATTGCTGAGATGTGAGGGAAAACATCTTTGAGGGTTTTTGGGTTTTAGGATTTGAAGGTTTTGGGATTTGAAGGTTCCCTAGAACCCAGCCTGGAGCCCTAAACCCATAACCCTAAACCTCAAAACCCCTAGCCCTAAACTAACCCCCTCAATCTGGCGGTGCTTGGAAGGGTTAGAGTTTATAGGGTTTAGGGTATGGAAGGGTTAAGGTCCAGGGTTTAGGGTATAGAAGAGTTGGGGTTTCGGGTTTAGGGTGTTTGCTCCGCATATAAGCTACTTCGTAGGCCACTGACCCTTTTCGAACCGAAACCCATTGGGTCGACCATGGTACTGTTGTAGGGTTTTGGGTTTAGGGGGTTTAGGGTTTAGGGTTTTGGGTTTAGGGTTTTGGGTTTTGGGTTTTGGGTTTTGGGTTTAGGAGTTAGCGCTCTGAGCTTGGGGGCTTTGGATTCGGGCTCGGGGTTTAGGGGGTTTGGGGTTTAGGGTTTAAGAGTGCCCTGAAATCTCCTAGGTTTCAGGCTTTACAGTACCTGTAGCCGAAAAGACCTCCCCTTGTAGGGTTCCTTATGATGGTTTCACGTATATATTGCTCCTCAAGAAGGTAAATCTTTTCGGCTACGGGTAGGGCTTACCTGCAGCTCCAAACCTGCAAAGTAATCGTGTAGTTATGACGCGATTGTTGTAATATAATCCGGGTAAGTTGGCTGGACCAGGATGAGCGAAACCCTAAACCCCGACGAACTTCAGAGTTCATCTTCATGGTTCCAGAATTCCAAATCCCAAAAAGCTCACAACCCAGACCCCCGCAAGGATCTAGAAAGTGGATCCCCTAATTTGGTGCCCTATACTACTAATGGTACTTTAGCAGCCGGCATGAGAGCATGTTTCTCGGTCTTCTGGGCGTTTGTGTTGGGGAGGGGCAAGAACGGAAGCCGTTCGCTCTGAATCCCAGACCCAAGGGGTCCTAAGTAGCTAATTATAGTAGAATGTGTGGTTTTTAGCAGATGTACTATGATCTGGGAAAGTATGTCCCGTAAGAGTACCTGGGACCGTTTGGAAGACTAGGCTGTGCTTGATTGAGAACCTTGATTGGAAGAGGGTGAAAGAACGTACCGTCGATCATCCCTCTCACGTCAATGTGCGCGCACCTGTAGGGTTTTGGGAAGGTAAAGGATCCATAGTTTAGGCTTTATCATGACACACATCCTTTGATGCCTAAGCCCTAATTAAGCCCGAAACCTGCCTTAAAACTCGAGTTTTAGGAAATCTAGACAGCCGTCCTAAGGGTCCAAGTGCCCAATTTTTAGGGGTATGACACGCACCAAAAGCCATTGGTATGGAATTCCACACCTAAAGCCCTACTATTTGGGACTTCGAGCCTCTGGGGTAAACAACTTAGAGACTAGGACGTGCCGGCCTGAGCCGTGAAAGGCGGAGAGCTGGCCTGCTGTGCTGGCAGCTGAAAGATGTTCTCCCGAGAGATTAAGTTGCAGGTCTAGTCCAGGGTCCAGGGCGTATGGTTTAGGCTTGAGCCAAGCACCTCAAGCAACTTAGACCCACTCCGACGGTCATACGGCTTAAGATAAGCCTCTGTTTAGGCACGCAATTTTATAGGTCCTCATCGTATTTGGAAAGCTGTCTGAACAGGGTCTTCCAGGGCTTATATAAGCGGGTCCTTGTAATGGGATTGACGAGGGTTCTTGAAGGCTTCTATAAGGGCCTTCAAGGATCCTTCAAAAGGGTTGGGACAAAAGGGTTGGGACTGCCTAGAGTGCCGCATTTGACAATTCTTTATGTAACCTTTAGCCAATGCCCAGAATTCCTTCAAAGCATATCAAAAGGACGAGAATATTACCCACTGCGAAACCGTCAACCGAAGAAGGTGTACACTGGTGAGCAGCTCGGGTCGGATACGGCGTTGTGTAGGATGAGCCCTTCGAGACCGAAATAGCATCCTTGATATGCTACCGACGCTTCCCGAGACATGAAAGATCCATGAACCTATGCATACAAATATCGACACATACGCACATGCATAGATACATAAAAATATACAACACTATACATATCGATAAAATACAATTTCTTTCCTAATCATTTGACCCCAGGATTCGGGAATAGGGGCTTCAGGCATTTGAGGGCTTGGCTTTCAGCATGTCAAGGTCCAAGAATTCGAGATGTACACCGAACCCTTCCCCGTTTGGTATCAAAGGCGCATAAAGGGGAATACACATAAGCGACAACTCTTTTCTAGGTCCAGCTACCTAAATACTCACTCACCATATATATATATATATATATATATATATATATATATATATATATATGTATATATATGTATATATTGAACATATATATATATATATATTGTATATTATAGTATATTATAGTATATTATATTATACTATATTATATTATATTATATTATATTATACATGTATATGTATATATATATATAATGTATCCCGGTGATCCAACTCCAAGTAGGGGATCCTGCCTGAGAAGCGGCGCGTTGCGTCGGTTCCTCGAAGTGGGGGGGAAGCTGAAGGACAGACTAGGTTGAGGCATTGAGGGGGTTTTGGGGTTGAGGGTTTAGGGGTGCAGGTGTAATTAGGGGTTTAAGGGTTCCGGTTTAGTACTCAAGGTATAGGGTTCAAGGTTCGCGTTTTAAGGTGATGTTAAATCAGTTTCCTAGAGGAAGTGTTTGTTGAGCTCGGAAGTTTTTGTGGTTTACCTCGACCAGCATAACCTGCCTTTGCTCGATATTGAATCAGTGGCATATAGAAGTTTCGGTGCCCTACAGAAAGCATGGCACTTATGGTGAACTTGGAGTAGGGCTTACGTGCAGATCCATAACGGAACGACTAAGAAACCAGGGCGCATGCTCAGCGGAATACCTGCCTGTTCTCCGCCAGGATTTGCTCCGCCGAGCAAGGATTGACAGATTGAGGGAGGCTGCACACGACGTCTCGAATATCGTTTTGGGGTTCAGGCTTCCGCCACCCTGTAATTACCATGCAAGCACCAGCAATCCTAAACCGTGCCTGCTGCAGCAGCAGGCAGCGGGCTCGCTACGGCCTGAGCTTCAGGGCATTGCAGAATCTCTCATACGACCAAACAGCCTCAGCATCCCCAAACCGAAGCCCGAATAATATAGGAGCCCTCATGATTAGAAAAGGTATCGTTCATGCATTCTAGTCTGAATATGAAAAGAACCCTAAGGAATGTTGCCAACATCTATTCAGGTTTCTATATTGGGTACCTGCAACAACCCAAGCGCCACGGATTATAGAACAGAGCAGTCGGAGGGATGCTGCCATCAACAAACACTACAGAGCTTAGCGTTCGGGGTTTTGGGTTTGGGGTTTAGGGTTTTGGGTTCTAGCGTTTTGGGTTTTAAGGTTTAGGGTATAAGAAACAGAATGAATCAAACAAAAGCACGAATCCCGATAACGGGATAATGGGCTCTCAGGGTTGAGGAGTCAGGAGATGGGAAGCAGCACGTCGGCCTCCGATAATACTTGCTCAGTACGCGCCCTATTCCCCCTCCATTGTTAAGATATAGTATGATCCACAACCAAAAACCTAGTATTCCCTTTACATTACTCGTAAGGATTGAGGCCATTGGGTTTCCAACTCTTGGGCTTCTACTATAGTATGCTCCAAAACCAAAAATCTAGTCATTGAGGTCCCTACACTGTTACACTAAGACCGGTGCGTGGTGTTGAGGTTGGCTTTGGACTTGCTACGACAAAGCGATTCAGTTTACATTCTGCAGAGCCACGGTTAAGGTTTAGGGTTTAGGGTTCAGGCTTTAGGGTTTAGGGTTTAGGGTTGAGGATTTAGGGTTTAGGGTTTAGGGTAAGGTTTAGGTTACGTTTGAACCCTACACCTTCAATCTAGACCTGAGAGACTTACGCCCGGACCTTCAAAACTCAACACTTACGCGAACCCAAACAAAACTAGGATGTTTGAGTAACCTACTGGAAAAAGTAGACACCCTTTTGTGTTACCTACAGTCTAATTGGAGCCCAGAAAAGACAAACCGCTGAATGACTGAAAACAAAGCCCAAAAACGACACCGCAAACGGAAGGTTCAACACCCTAAATCGGGTCCTGGCATTCCGAATACCGCGAGAAGAAACACTTCAAACTGTCCTCGGCACGGAAAACCCTTAACGCGACCCCCTCCCCACCGAAAACAAGACAGAGTGGGGAGGAAGGGGTCTACATTAATGTTCAAACCCTGACCTTAAATCTCTAAACTCTCAACCCAGCACTAACCCGAACCTCCATCCCGATGCCATCTTAATCCCGATCAACCTTGAACTCGACGCCTTCAAAAGCTAAATCTAAACCCTGTAACTACGAGGCCCTAAACTCTAAGGTCTTAGACCCTTTTACCCGCAAATCTACAGCCCCACACGTTGATCTCGACCAGCCATACATTCTTCGTCATGGTTGTTTCGCTTCTATGCATTGTCACTGATGAGCATGATTACCATGATTGTTGTCATGTCTTTCTTACGACAATTGCTTTTCTATCATGTAGCCCCCTCCACAAAAAGTCGCAGGGTTCATCAGGAAAACCCAGCGTCCGTACAGTCAACATCCTGCAAACCTCGACTCATCAAGATGTTGCAAGAATCAGGCTGAGAACCCCTTGCTGCACTCTCACTCAGCAGGGAACAGCATCAGCTGGAAGAACAAACCCGAACCCCAAACAGGGGTCTCCTAAATCTTTCTCCATGGGCTCCGATGCTCCCTCTTTGAGCTTTCACTGTGCCGTGAAAACCCCCGTCAGAAAATCGCTGACTCAAGATTTCCATTTGAAAGCATCTTCTCTAATACCAGACATCAGCATCCGACAAGACCACCCAGAGGCCTGCACCTGCACCGGTGCTCACAACTACTTGTTGGTGCCTCAATACTCTCAATAGGGTTTAGGGCTGTTTTTTGTGTATAACTAGAAAACAACCCTGCGGCTCAGGTATTCGTGAGCAGAAGTAAACAGGGGCCATAAAGGAAAATTGCTTCTAATTTCGACCCCAATATTACGCCTTTCATGTTGGGGCACTGCTCTCGAGGCCTCTGCTCCCCCGGAGTCTGCACCAGCGCCCCTGGGGAAGACAAAAGCAGCAAATCAATATTCCTTCGATATACATACAGTGCATATATACATACATAGAGACACAAAGACATGTATGTATACAGTTTACATATATATATATACACACGTTTATGTACATACACACAGATGATGCGTGTGTATATACATTTGTGCATACACATGCTTGTGTGCAGTGCAGGCAAAACCCTGGGAAGAACCGAAGCAGAGTCGTAGACTTGACCTGCAATAGGTCATGTGTTGCTGAGGATTCCCCAAGAGAACTACAGTGCAGGATTCTGCCAAACCATGTCGTATTATTTCTTGAACCCTATGAGGACGGGCTTCTAATGATGACTTCCTTATGCAAGTTATACAAGAAAGGCAGGTTCTTTGTGGCTAAGGTCTGGCCTATATAATACATGGATAGGTCTCTAAATTAGCCTCCCTTTTGGAGTCCTTTTTTATATGCGTGCTGGAATTTACTTGGGATCTGTCAAATAGGCACCCTAATTTAGAGAACTAACCATATGGGGGCCTTACTAATTATTTTTCAAGGTTTAGGGTAGTTTCCTTGGGTTAATGTCAGGCCTATGTCTGCCAAAGCAAAATCTAAGCTTCGAGCTCGCATTGCTCCGGAAACTCCTCGGCAGCCGGGGGTTTGGCGATCTGGTGCAGGAAGTCTTCCAAAGACGCATACGGGCTTAGGAGTTTTTCGGGGTTTAGGGTGGCAGAACCATGAGACTACAAACTCGACTCGGCGAGCATGGCCAAGAATGCAAAGTTCTGCTTTTTTGACGTATAGCGCCTTAGCCGTGGAATGGAATTTTGGGGGTGTCTTTGCTTGTAGAACTGTGGTAAGGAACCCTGGTGCTGATCATTGCGACCTATTCGGGCCTCTGCACTCTGATCTTTAGCGTTCGTATTCGACCGGAGCCGTCGAACAGCAAATTTGGTGGCAGCCCGCTGGTGGATGATCCGACCTACCTTTAAACCACTTCTTCGGAGGCTAAACCCTGAACCCCTACCCTCTAAAGCAATCCTGCAAGGAATCGTTGCCAGAGGAAGCTTAAAAGCCAAGCCTCGGAGGCTGGCATCATGGCCATGGCTTCCCATGCGCTAAAAAACTGACGAATTGAATTCAGATTACAGTAGAAGACAAAATTGGAAATCTAATAGCCTCAATCCTTAAGAGCAATCTACAAGGAATCCCAGCACTATTTGGCCCTAATCCGGTTTCCAACTTTATGGGGTTTACTGTAAACTGGGTCTTATCTAGCGATGAGGGGCTGGCAAAATTCTGTAGTTCCGGTGGGGGGGGGTTTTGGAAAGTTGTGCACCTCTGTGAAAAGTCTTGGGTGGAGTCTTGGGGATTGAACCATCTCCGAATCATGAACAAGAAGGCGAGGCGGAAATGTCACCCATGACAGGAAAAGCAAGAGTGGAACCCAGTCGAGGGTTCGGGGCTGGGCGTTTAGGGCTGTGGGCTTATGTTTACGTAAGGCTGAGACGGTTAAGGGTTGAGATTTACGTCTGGGGTTTTGGAGGCCATTGATTCGAGTGGTTGGGGGCCCTACCTGGGTTTTGAGTTCTACCACAGTATACCATATTAGAGTAGACTATATACTATACCATGCCATACCATACCAAGCCCTGCCATAGCAGACCATATCATACCAGACCATACCGCACTACACTATTCGGTAACCAAGAATAGCGAAGAAAGTACGGCTCTTGAGCCCCAAAACTCAAGAGCCCTTCATGCCGACAACCACAACAACAATCTATGCTCCTTAATGCACAAACCTAAGCACCGTTCTCGAACTCCATAATATGGTACCCCGAGCCTTAAGCCTTGAACCCTCAGCCCCAAAATCGACAAGTGCTTTATGAAAAAAACAATGTTTTAAACCCCAAACACTAACTACTTGAACGGTCACCATTGTGCGGTCCAAGGTGTACTGCTACTGCTAAGGCTACTAACTACTAACTACTCACTACTAACTACTAACTGCTAACTACTGACTACTGACGACTGACTACTGACTACTGACTATTGACTACTACTACTACTACCACTACTACTACTACTACTACTACTACTACTACTACTACTACTACTACTACTACTACTACTACTACTACTACTACTACTACTTCTACCACGACTACCACTACCACTACCACTGCCACTACCACTACTACTACTACTACGACGACGACGACGACTACTACTACTACTACGACGACTACTACTACTACGACTACTACCTACTCCACTCTAGGGTTCCACGCCTCCTGGCGCCTGGTCATTTTGAGTGGTCGAGTGTGTAAAATGCTGGGTGTTTAGTAGATTTTGGAAATTGTAGTTAAGCCAAGTTCAAACAAAGTAATTGCTTGGGCTTGTGTTGATGACGATGAGGATTATAAGGATGATGATACGGATGATGATATATGATGATTACGAGGATGATGATAAAGATGATCATGTTAACCATGATGTTGAAGATGGTGAGGATGATGGTTATGAAGATGATGATGTAGGACGAAGCAGTGAGCTCGGAGCTGCCGACGCTAGCGTATGGATTCCAAACCTCGTACCCTAAACCCTAAGCCCCTAATATAGGGGGCCTAAATAATTGTTTAGGATTTAGGGTTTAAGGTTACCTATTACCTATACCATTTTGGGTGCTCCTTATTAAAACCTTGGGATGGGAGGAACAGCGAGCAAGAGAGCTGTTTGATAGCCCTGGGGGACGAGGGCACTTCGTTTCCTATATGGGACAAAGCATGTTGCAGTGAGCAGGAGGGTGGCTTCAAGATCCGGACCTTCTCAACAGGTTTGACTTGGATTGGAATGACGGTCACCCGTGCGTGTCACTACGGGCTGCACGTCCCTCCAAACATCCTCCAAATGAACTTCGGAGATGGTGCCGGCTATATTATCCGTCGTGATTTCCGCACATCCGGTCAAACGAAAACCCGCTGAACCTGTTACACTGGCCTCAACGGAGTTGAGCAAACTCTTGTATAAGTCCCAGCTGTCCAGGAAGAACCAGAAGACGATCGAGATTCAGAGCGTCTCTACCCAAGTGCAGGCGAAAGTCTGAACTCCGTCGAACCAGAAATTATTGGTTAACTCCGCGGCTCAAGCTATTGGGAACGAGGACATGTGATGGGTCTTGGAGTAGACTGATCTGCTCGACGATCATTCAAGCACTCCGTCATGTCAGTGTTACGCTCACTTTTGTTTGGGCTCAAAGCGGGATCCACGGACAGAGTGCGCAGGGCGCAGGCAATGACCCACCGACCTGTCCTTCTCGGGGGACGTTGACCCGATTCACCCGGGTCTCAAGGAGTCCGAACAGATAGTGATAAAGTTTCGAACGACTGACTCTCCATCCGCAGGTGTTACAGGTTCTGCACACCGCTGGAAGATGGAGCAAGAGACGAAGCCAGGGCCGCAGCGGTGGGCGGCAGCGGATCTGGCGTCCAGCATGCGTCGCGAGCATCGCAGTAGGATGACGGACGAGGAGGAAGCGGACATGGTCCGCTAATTGATGGAGGATGACGACGAGGCGCACACCGTGCAGGAGACGTACATGGCGCCGGCTCCAGGCGATCGGGCATTACAACAACCAGTACATCGGCGGCAAAGGCCAAGGCGAAGGCCCAAAAAGCATGGCAAGTCGGCCGCTCAACGGGAAGCTCACAGTCTCATGCATGCCAACGAGCGCACTTCCAACGACTGCAAGGGCTTATTCACACACGTCGCTGGATTTTCTGGTCCTGTTGCGCTGCTATCGTCGCAGGCGTCGTCAGAGTGATCTGGCCTGACCTGAAGAACATAGGAAGCGTAGGATGTGTGGTCTCCTACAGTTTGTGTACGATGAAGTTCATTGTCACAGCGACCTTAAACAAGCATGTCTTGTCCCAACGGCGGAATCTTCGCTACTCTCTCCGGTGTGGAGAACAATCGGCTGCAAGGGACTGATGCTCTTTCACATACAACAACAGCGCAACATACTGCTGAGACCACGTTGGCCAGGTACCGCCCCACTCTTTCCAAAGAATCAGTCGGCCATCTCCCTCGACACATAGGACTCAAAGCCGCCTCATGTCACTCCTCCTATGTAATTGCTGTAGAACCAAAGGCTTCATGCTTCAAACCTGCAAACATTGGAGGACGCTTTCAACCCAATAGACTTCATCGCATCGAGTCCAACATCATATCGGCATGAAAATGGGGCCTTCCAGAGAGCTCAGGAAGTGCCTCACATGAAATCGGGTATACCCGAACATGAACTTACGCACGCTGGCAATGCCTCACGCGAAACAAACGCACGGATCGGTAAGAAATTAGCCCCTTCGGATCACTGCATGGAGGCTCCGTGATCGAACCGACTTGGAAACTCCGACGAGTCTCACGATCCATCGAGCGGAACACCGAACCCTGAACCCTTAGCCCTAAACTCCCGACCCGTCCAAGGGACAAACCTCCCCCCCCCATGCCCTTTCAAGAGAACCTCGGACACACACACACAAACTCCGGGGAGAAGAACTGCAGGAGCTGAAGAAGGAGGCGCGGAGAGAGAGAAGAGAAAGCGAGCGCTCCCTGGGCCGAGCTCGCGGGGCCCCGCGGAGAGAGAAGGCCCTTTGGGCCCTTTCAGGGGCCTCTGGGCCGAGCTGCTGAAGTCGAGGCCTTCGGCTCGGAGCCACTGGGAGTTGTCTCGAAAAGCAAAAGCCGCAAAGCCTGTTCCCGGGCACGTGTTGTTTGAAGTCTGTCGCTCTTGGACCCCACTTTTTCTCCGAACCCAGCCTTCAGGACTCGGACTCTAAGCTCCCACACAGCTCAGTTGCAAGGCTGTGCGCCGAGCGAAACGATGCTCACCGAAAGCTGAAGGTTGACGTGAAGCTACCCTTGCCGTGCGGACCACACGCCACATGCAGCACGCGGATCTTGCATGATGGTGTCGGGCTCATCCTCTCGCTCGCTGAGCTAAGACAGGGGCCGAAAAGCTTGTCATCAAAGCTCCAGTCTCAAATCCTGCAAGAAAACAGCGTCTCGGTGACCACCTCCATGCAGCCGATAGCCACAAGTTCGACGACATTTCCTCGGTAGGGCGACCATTCTCAGGACATCTACGCAGCAGCCAACGCTGCCAGCAGCGCACGGCAACAGTGCAGAGTTGCTTCACTGCAGATGAAAAACAGGAACCCATCTGCAAGCCAGCGCATGACCAGGACCGGAAAGAATACTACAAAGACCATAATCTGTGCGACCTCATGGCGAAACTGGAAAATCGAGGGCAAGCACAGCCCACACAGGCCAGGGTCCGATCCTCTACAGGAGATGCCGCCAAGCTGCATAGAAGAACGCGAGATCAAATCCCCATGATCATCTTTGTTGTCGGTCTGGGCCAAATGTTCCTAGTCTCGTAAAGCGAAGCACCACGAAGAATCACACAGAATCCAAACGAGGGCAGCTCACGATGCACAAACACTGTAGGTTCGCCAAAACTCTGTCTCCCAACAGACGAAGATAGCATTCACTAAAACCAGCACAGCACCTCGGGCGCATGCGGATCCAGAAACTCGCACAGAGGATCTGAATGGAAATGACAAAAGACGGCTATGCACAAATGCACATGAAAATGCATCAGAAAAGGACTTCAACTCAATGCACTACTATAGGCGACTGAATAGTTAATTAGTAGATATAAGTGGTACTATCCAAACACGATTAGAGTACAGTTTACCTGACGGCTTGTCTTGAAACCTAGGCCCAGACTGATTTCAACCAAGGCTCTACAATCCAGGAGCTCTCATCCCATCTATCTGTCCGTCTGCCTGGCTGTCTAGCTATCATCTATCTGTCGATGTGTACACACATAGCTAGACTTGCGACTAAAGAACATACATACCTAAATAAGCAGATAGTGCACGCCTGTATGTCTGAGGCTTTGTGGTTGAAGGTTCCTCGAAACGGTTGTGGGGGTGGAGGGTTCCCTACAAAGGACGTTCAGGGTTCGAGGGTTTTGTGCTAGTCACACTCTACATCTCGGCTTATAGCTTTAAGGGTTTATGATTTAGGGTACAGGCATAG